TAGCCTTGGAAAATTCAAAAAAATTGAAATCATTCCAGTCATCTTTTCTGACCACAGTACAGTAAGATTAGATCTCAATTACAGGAAAAAAATTATTAAAAATTCAAACATATGGAGGCTAAATAACACGCCTCTGAATAACCAACAAATCATAGAAGAAATCAAAATATGCATAGAAATGAATGAAAATGAAAACACAACAACCCAAAACCTATGGGACACTTTAAAAGCAGTGCTAAGGGGAAGGTTCATAGCATTACAGGCTTACCTCAAGAAACAAGAAAACAGTCAAATAAATAACCTAACTCTACACCTAAAGCAACTAGAGAAGGAAGAAATGAAGAATCCCAGGGTTAGTAGAAGGAAAGGAATCTTAAAAATTAGGGCAGAAATAAATGCAAAAGAAACTGAAGAGACCATAGCAAAAATCAACAAAGCTAATAGCTGGTTTTTTGAAAAAATAAACAAAATTGACAAACCATTAGCAAGACTCATTAAGAAACAATGGGAGAAGAACCAAATTAACAAAATTAGAAATGAAAATGGAGAGATGACAGCAGACAACACTGAAATACAAAGGATCATAAGAGACTACTACCAGCAGTTCTATGCCAATAAAATGGACAATTTGGAAGAAATGGACAAATTCTTAGAAAAGTATAACTTTCCAAAACTGAACCAGAAAGGAATAGAAGATCTTAACAGATCCATCACAAGCAAGGAAATCGAAACCGTAATCAGAAATCTTCCAGCAAACAAAAGCCCAGGACCAGATGGCTTCACAGCTGAATTCTACCAAAAATTTAGAGAAGAGCTAACACCTATCTTACTCAAACTCTTCCAAAAAATTGCAGAAGAAGGTGAACTTTATGAGACCACCATCACCCTAATTCCAAAACCAGACAAAGATGCCACAAAAAAGAAAACTACAGGCCAATATCACTGATGAACACACATGCAAAAATCCTTAACAAAATTCTAGCAAACAGAATCCAACAATATATTAAAAAAATCATACACCATGACCAAGTGGGCTTTATCCCACGAATGCAGGAATTCTTTAATATCCACAAATCAATCAGTGTAATATACCACATTAACAAATTGAAAGATAAAAACCATATGATTATCTCAATAGATGCAGAGAAAGTCTTTGACAAAATTCAACACCCATTTATGATTAAAACTCTCCAGAAAGCAGGAATAGAAGGAACACACCTCAACATAATAAAAGCTATATATGACAAACCCACAGCAAGCATTACCCTCATTGGTGAAAAATTGAGAGCATTTCCCCTGAAATCAGGAAAAAGACAAGGGTGCCCACTATCACCACTACTATTCAACATAGTTTTAGAAGTTTGGGCCACAGCAATCAGAGCAGAAAAAGAAGAAAAAGGAATCCAGATAGGAAAAGAAGTGAAACTCTCGCTGTTTGCAGATGACATGATCCTCTACATAGAAAACCCTAAAGATTCTACCAGAAAATTACTAGAGCTAATCAACGAATATAGTAAAGTGGCAGGATATAAAATTAACACACAGAAATCCCTTGCATTCCTATACACTAACAATGAGAAAATAGAAAGAGAAATTAAGGAAACAATACCATTCAACATTGCAACAAAAAGAATAAAATACTTAGGAGTGTATCTACCTAAAGAAACAAAAGACCTATACACAGAAAACTATAAAACACTGATGAAAGAAATCAAAGAGGACACAAACAGATGGAGAAATACACAGTGTTCATGGATTGGAAGAATCAATATTGTCAAAATGGCTATAGTACCTAAAGCAATCAATAGATTCAATGCAATCTCTATCAAGCTACCAATGGTATTTTTCACAGAACTAGAACAAATAATTTCACAATTTGTATGGAAATACAAAAAAACCTCGAATAGCCAAAGTAACCTTGAGAAAATTGGAGGAATCAACCTGCCTGACTTCAGACTCTACTACAAAGCCACAGTCATCAAGACAGTATGGTACTAGCACAAAGACAGAGACATAGATCAATGGAACAGAATAGAAAGCCCAGAGTTAAATCCACAAACCTATGGACACCTTATCTTAGACAAAGGAGGCAAGAATATACAATGGAAAAAAGACAACCTCTTTAACAAGTGGTGCTGGGAAAACTGGCCAACCACTTGTAAAAGAATGAAACTAGAACACTTTCTAACACCATACACAAAAATAAACTCAAAATGGATTAAAGATCTAAATGTAAGACCAGAAACTATAAAACTCCTAGAGGAGAACATAGGCAAAACACTCTCCAACATAAATCACAGCAGGATCCTCTATGACCCACCTCCCAGAATATTGGAAATAAAAGCAAAAATAAACAAATGGGATCTAATGAAGCTTAAAAGCTTTTGCACAACAAAGGAAACTATAAGCAAGGTGAAAAGACAGCCCTCAGAATGGGAGAAAATAATAGCAAACGAAGCAACAGACAAAGGATTAATCGCAAAAATATACAAGCAACTCCTGCAGCTCAATTCCAGAAAAATAAATGACCCAATCAAAAAATGGGCCAAAGAACTAAACAGACATTTCTTCAAAGAAGACATACAGATGGCTAAAAAAACACATGAAAAGATGGTCAACATCACTCATTATTAGAGAAATGCAAATCAAAACCAATGAGGTACCAGTACATGCCAGTCAGGATGGCTGCTATCCAAAAGCCTACAAGCAATAAATGTTGGAGAGGGTGTGGAGAAAAGGGAACCCTCTTACACCGTTGGTGGGAATGCAAACTAGTACAGCCTCTATGGAGAACAGTGTGGAGATTTCTTACAAAACTGGAAAAAGAACTGCCATATGACCCAGCAATCCCACTTCTGGGCATACACACTGAGGAAACCAGATCTGAAAGAGACACGTGCACCCCAATGTTCATCACAGCACTGTTTATAATAGCCAGGACATGGAAGCAACCTAGATACCCATCAGCAGGCGAATGGATAAGGAAGCTGTGGTACACATATACCATGGAATATTACTCAGCCATTAAAAATAATTCATTTGAATCAGTTCTAATGAGATGGATGAAACTGGAGCCCATAATACAGAGTGAAGTAAGCCAGAAAGATAGCATACTAACACATATATATGGAATTTAGAAAGATGGTAATGATAACCCTATATGCAAAACAGCAAAAGATACACAGATGTACAGAACAGACTTTTGGACTCTGTGGGAAAAGGCAAGGGTGGGATGTTTCGAGAGAACAGCATCGAAACATGTATATTATCTATGGTGAAACAGATCAACAGCCCAGGTTGGATGCATGAGACAAGTGCTCAGGCCTGGTGCACCGGGAAGACCCAGAGGGTTCGGATGGAGAGGGAGGTGGGAGGGGGGATCGGGATGGGGAATAAACGTAAATCCATGGCTGATTCATGTCAATGTATGACAAAAACCACTGCAATATTGTGAAGTAATTAGCCTCCAACTAATAAAAATAAATTAAAAAAAATTTTTTTTAAAGAAAAGAGATACTCCTTGATTCTATATATATCTAGGGATATCAAAGTGTATAGAAATTCTATGGAAATTGAAAATGTGTACCTTTTGTTTTGGGCTTCCCAGATGGCACTAGTAAAGAATATGCCTGCAAAGTAGGAGATGCAGGAGGTCTGGGTTGGATCCCTGGGTGGGGAAGATCCCTTGGAGGAGGGCACAGCAATGTAACGGTAATGGAAAACCAAAAGTATACACTAGATCGAATATTTTCCGTACTATCATTTACTTCTGTTTTTAAAACCCCATTGACTACAACTAACATAACATGTGTATTCTGCAATGTTCCTGCCACTAACCTTTTCACTAGAAGAATATCCATACATCTCAGACATTAAAAAGTAGGTCGACATCCTACTTGCTTGATACAATCCCATTTTATGTCCATTATTTCAGCATAATTAGTGGCAGAACTCCTCTTTTTTATACTCAAATCATCTCAATTTGAGCAATAAATCATATAGCTATCCTTTTTATTTCCAAACTAATGTTTCAATATATATGAAAATATTGTTATGGTAAAAAGTTATATAATTATTAATTTTTGTCATTTTAAGATGATTTCATTAAAATCACTTTAGAAACATGCTCCAATTTTTGTATAGTGATTCTCACATAAATCATAGTTTTGTTGTTCAGTTCCTACATAACTAAATTCTGCTTTTCAAATAGTGCAATGAATATGGGACCTCCTCAGCTGAATAGAAAATAAGACTTCAAATTTCTGATACTCCCTTTTTATGAGAATGCATGGACTATAGCAAGGTTCTGTGGACTTTCTGTCTGGGATGATCAACATGATTGTAGCTTATGTACACTTGGAGACTTGTTTCATGGAACCAAAGTATGGGGAAATTAAAATGGTAACATCCACTTAGCGACTTATGGAAAGAGAAAAGAAAAATCAAAGCAAAGTGTAACTTCAACAAGGAAATAATGACTCCTGTTACTAGGGGAAGGTATTAATCAGAAACATGGATTGATAGAAAAAAGGATTTCAACTGATGCTAGTGTTTATGCTTAGTTTTTCTAGATCAAAGTCCATTGTTTATTAAACTAAAGTAAGCAAATATCACTTGAATAAGATGTGTAATGAGGAAGCAAAGTGATTTCAGATGTTTTGCCTTGCAATTAAAAATAGTTTCTGGCACCAAACCTTCCTCAAGGCATTCTTCATCTCTGCATTTCTGAGAGTGTAAATCAGAGGGTTGAACATGGGAGCAATGATGGTGTAGAAGAGAGCAAACACCTTGTCTTCTGGAAACGTTGTGGCCGGTCTAATGTAAATGAAGAGAATAGGCACGAAGCCCAGAACCACAACTGTGATGTGGGAACTACAAGTGGAAAGAGCTTTGTACCGGCTTTCTGTAGGATAAGCCTTGATGGTGTATAATATCAAAATGTAGGACAGCATCACGACCACAAAGATCACTAACCCCATCATGCCCGCATTGGCCACCACTAGGATCCCAACTCTGTAGGTGTCTGTGCAGGCCAGTGTCAGCAAAGGATACACGTCACAGAAATAGTGATCTATTTCATTGGGGCCACAGAAGGGCAAGTTAATGATGAGGAGACCTTGGACAAAGGAGTGAAGAAATGCCCCAGCATAACAAGCACTGACCATGGCATAGCGTCTGGGCCTGCTCATGATGACGGTGTAATGCAGGGGCCTGCAGATGGCCGCATAGCGGTCATAGGCCATCACGGTGAGAACACAGATTTCAATCCCCCCAAAGAAGTGCATGGCAAAAAGCTGCACCATGCAGGCAGTGTAAGAAATTGTGCTACTTTCTGCCAGCAAGTCAGTGACTAACTTGGGTGTCACTGTTGACGTATAACACAGATCTGATAGAGCAAGGTAATTAAGGAAGAAATACATGGGTTGATCATTTAGCTGACTGCATGTGATAGAAATCATGATGAGCAAGTTTCCCATCCAAATAGCTATGTAACAAAATAAGAATAGTAGGAAGCACACATGTTTGATTTTCATATTCTGGGAAAGTCCCAAGAGAATGAATTCAGTGATGTTATTGGTATATTTCATGGTCTAATGCAGTGAAGACGCAGTGAGTTTGCCTGAAAAAAAAAAAAAAAAAGACAGGTTAGCATGAGAAATATTGACTAAGCATGGAGTCAATCAGAGTGAGTGTTGGAGAAACACATCCGTTTAGTAAATCAGCTTCCTATATTACACTTTTAAATAGTTAATTCTAAACCTAGTATGAAAATCTTGCCATATAACATACCAGATCTGATTATTTTCTAGAGTGAAAGAGAATACTGTTAATAAATACACTTGCTCAAGTATAAACAAACATGCACAGTCATCTTATGTATGGGATGAAAAGTGAGTTTAGGAAAGATACATTTCTTTTCCTGAAGTGGCTTGTTTGCTTAGGAGATTCAAACAAGCCTATTTAAAGTGAAGGGAGTAAAGTAAGTTGTGAAATTGCCAGAGAGAATCCTGTTTTTCTTTAAAATGTTGATAATTTTCTTGTGGAATGTGATTTTTTAAAATATTGCACTAAATCATTATTATCTTTATTAGTGAGATGCTTGCACACAAGACAAGTGACTCATTTGCCTGAGTGATGAAAAACTATGACAAACCTAGACAGCATAAGAGATTTCACTTTACCAATATAGGTCCATATAGTCAAAGCTATGACTTTTCCAGTAGTCATGTACAGATGTGAGAGTTGGACCACAGAGAAGGCTGAGCGCCAAAGAATGGAGGCTTTCAAACTGTGATGTTACAGAAGACTCTTGAGAGTCTGGACAGCAAGGAGAACAAACAAGCCAATCCTAAAGGAAATCAACCGTGAATATTCATTGGAAGGACTGATGCTGAAGATGAAGTTCCAAAATTATTTCCACCTGATGAGAAGAGCCGACTCATTGGAAAAGACCCTGATGCTGGGAAAGATTCAGGGTAGGGGGAGGTGGGGGTAACAGAGAATGATATGGTTGGATGGCATCACTGACTCAATGGACATGTATTTGAGTAAACTCCAGGGAAGCCTGGCATGGTACAGTCCATGAGGTCACAAAGATTCGGACATGCTTAGCGACTGAACAAGAAGCAGCTCTGATTCTGGAAAACAGTCTGATGTATTTGCAAGCATTGTGGACAAAAACAGAAAAGAAAATACTGTTTCAGGTGAAGCAAAAGTAGCTGTGACATTTCTTTTAATTTAATAGGAAAAATAATAGTAATTATACGTAAAATTGAGAAACAAATGTTGCCAAAATGACTAATAACAATAATATATAAGTGAATGGCACTTGCTTTATAGGGATCAGGCTTCAATAATTTTTATAATAGAACATTTTATAATTTGATTAATTATAATGTCCCTGCTTTGTTATCTTTTATGTTACAATGATTTCTTTAAGAAATAATGACAATTTCATAAATAAATATTCCAAGAAAATATTTTTCAGAATATCATGCATATTATTAGCATGTCTGTAATCAGAAAAATAAATAAAACTTACTTTCTTAAATAGCTTTAGTTTAAGTTGTAGATACTTTCATTTCCAATTAATTAACCAATATGCTTCTATAGTTTATAAGCATATTTTAGTCCAATAATTTCAGATCATTTTGATAATTTGCTAATATGATCCTGGAGGAAAGCATATTCTAACTGAAAAAAAAATGAATAGAAACATTCCATTAATTCATAGGCAGGAGAGTTGGAAAATCTGTCTCTCTCATGTTAACTAGATGTTATCCTAACAAAATGGGAAAATAATTAGAACGCTTAATTAGTTTCCTTTTTTTCCCTTAAATGCCTCTCTTTCACAGCCTTCAACTTAATATCAGAGACTTCATAATCATGCTATTTAAAATATAACTTACATTTCTAACACTTCCACATTATTTCCAATTTCCTTTTTAATATTAGAGTTACTGATTTTATATATACAAGATCCTCATTTTCATATTTATGTGATTTAAAGAGAATATTTTGTATGATAAACTACAAGGACTAACATTGCTGCTAAGACAAGTTCATTATTTATGACAAATTTCTCCTTTTTAATATGAGCGTTTCTAGTATAAATATAAATATTTCATGGTAGTGCAGGTAGAATTAGCAGGTACATACTGTGCAATTTGTTCACTTCAGTCTCTCAGTCATGAACTCTTTGCAACCCCATGAACGGCAGCACTCCAGGCCTCCCTGTCCATCACTAACTCCCGGAGCGCACCCAAACACATGTCCATTGAGTTGGTGATGCCATCCAACCATCTCATCCTCTGTCGTCCCCTTCTCCTCCTGCCCTCAATCTTTCCCAGCATCAGGGTCTTTTCAAATGAGTCAACTTTTCGCATCAGTTGGCCAAAGTATTGGGAGTTTCAGCTTCAACATCAGTCTACCAATGAACACCCAGGACTGATCTCCTTTAGGATGGACTGGTTGGATCTCCTTGCAGTCCAAGGGACTCTCAAGAGTCTTCTCCAACACCACAGTTCAAAAGCATCAATTCTCCTGCCCTCAGCTTTCTTTATAGTCCACCTCTCACATCCATACATGACCACTGGAAAAACCATAGCCTTGACCAGATGGACCTTTGTTGACAATGTAATGTCTCTTCTTTTTAATATGCTATCTAGATTGGTCATAACTTTCCTTCCAAGGAGTAAGCGTCTTTTAATTTCAAGGCTGTAGTCACCATCTGCAGTGATTTTGCCCAGAAAAATAAAGTCTGACACTGTTTCCACTGTTTCCCCATCTATTTGCCATGAAGTGATGGAAGTGAATGCCAAGATCTTAATTTTCTGAATGTTGAGCTTTAAGCCAACTTTTTCACTCTTCTCTTTCACTTTCATCAAGAGGCTTTTTAATTCTTCTTCACTTTCTGCCTGATTATTTTCCCTTTCACTTTGTTTTTCTTCATTTCATTGTGTATAGACTGAGTATCTCATACAGCATAATAAAAAATAATCAGAAGTGTGCTGAAATATTAATAGCTAAAATTAAAGCCATTGCAGTTCATATCAAATTGATTTTTCTTACAGGTCTTTCACAGACATAAAAGATAAGTAGTGATAATAATACCTAATATTTCCTGAAAGAAGTTTTAAACATTTTATATGAATTGAACAATTAATCCAAAGAAGTGTCCAGTGATCATTTTATTATCTCTTTTTTTTTAAAAAAGGAAGCCAAATACTTAACAATTTGGGTAAATACTGATAAATACTGAAGACTGTTTTTAGGTTTATTTTAATTTTCTTTCACCATCCGGATATTGCTAACTTGGTTTCGGGTACAAACTAGTCTTATGATTCTAGGGACATGTTATTTTTATCTGTTTGTTTTTGTTATTATTTTTATAACCAAGTTGTCTTACCCAAAAATTCACGAATAAGCTTAATGTTTCCCAACAGTTTCAAAGGTTTCTCTCAAGACCAGTACCAATTCTTGGCTAAACTAATTCTATTTGCTCTCTGTGTAACTGTTCATCCTATTCTCAATTTTCCTGATTGAGTTTGCTCTACCTTGACATTCAGGATCTTCTGGTATTAAGGTTTTCTATATTGTAACATTTTGCTTTTTTAATTACTCACTAAATACATATTATGCAGAGTAGCAAAGGAGGCAGAAGAGTGATGAATCTCTATATCAGTACATTCCCTTAACTTATTTTATCTGTACCCTTTTTTCTCTTTAATATTTTTTCTCTTCCATCTTAAGTATAAGGTTTTTTCTTCTTTTCTTTAATATAACCCCTATGTGACACAAATGCTATCATTTCTCCATGAATTTCTCAAAGTCATACCAAAAATCTGCTTAATTTTGACAACTGTTGAGGCATATGACAAAGGGAATTAACATATGTAATCAGCATGTTTATGGATAAAATTTAATTTAAATTGTATATGCAAAATTTCTTTTGTATTTGAAAGTAATTATTATTTACTATAGCTTGATTGAAATTTTACTTACCAGGTGATTATCTCTTTAGATAAAATCCTTTATCTCTGAGTAAATGGTAGCAATGTTTTCAATGCAGTCAGAATCTTAACCACACTACTAAAGTTATTGAATTTTATCTTAAAATCAGCTTACATGAATCCTGATTCTGGGACTTTTCTGCTGTCCTTACAGAAATAAGAATTTCTCTCCTGATTTTTGAAACTAAAATCATCTAAATTTTTAGATGATCTAAAAATCATTTTGATTTTTAAAACTGAATCATCACTGGCAATTATGTTGAATAGTGCTTTTGTTTTCTACCAAAAGTTATATCTCCTCTGTGGTTGGAATGGAAATGTACACATAAGCCTTCTGTTTGATTTCCAAGAGGTGTTTAAATAGATGACCTTGGAGATTATAACCCCCAAACTCCTTCTCACTTTTTGTCAGGATGAGTCAGCTCCCCAAAGAAAAGCTGGCCAAGTCCTTAAAAAATAGTTATGTCACAGCTATTAATTCCTTATACTCTGAGGAATGTGAGTACAAACTGAAAGCCCACTTATGTTCAAAACTGAGACTATAAATCATGTCCTTTATGTTGAAACAAAATTTGAGGAAGAACTAAGAGATAATGTCTGAACAGAGGAAATATTAGAAAACACTGAAGAAGCCAAAGGCCAATAAAATCAGAAACAGGTTTT